AAAGTTTGTTGGACTAGCTATGCTAAGTGCTGGCTGATTTGGACTTTATGGCTGGATTAAAGTTTGTTGGACTAGCTATGCTAAGTGCTGGCTGATTTGGACTTTATGGCTGGATTAAAGTTTGTTGGACTAGCTATGCTAAGTGCTGGCTGATTTGGACTTTATGGCTGGATTAAAGTTTGTTGGACTAGCTATGCTAGCCACTCCTAATTTTTAAGTGTTACACTATAAGGAAGGTAGTTAGTCAACCCCTTCCACCACCAACTCTTGGGCTGCTCTTGTCAAACAGAATAGTGGAATTTGACTGCCACTCTTCTAACACACCCACAGCTCCAAAGAGCAGAGGACACTATTTTTTTCTTTTTAGCAGTAGGAAGAAACAACCACAGAATCTCAGTTCCACAGTCTGGTAAACTATTCACTGACCATGCTTGGCCTAAAATTAAACAGCCCATGCTTATAACGTAACTGTACTATATTCACTGACCATGCTTGGCCTAAAATTAAACAGCCCATACTTATAATATAACTGTACTATGTTCACTGACCATGCTTGGCCTAAAATTAAACAGCCCATGCTTATAATGTAACTGTACTATATTCACTGACCATGCTTGGCCTAAAATCAAACAGCCCATGCTTATAATGTAAGTGTACTATGAGAACATATGGGTATTTGTTTTGTTTTTCCAGCTACAAAATTTAAACAAAACAGCTCAACGTACAAACTGGCATTTAAAAACCTGAAATAATGACTTAAAATAGAAGTATAATAATTGTTTTTATTTATTTGTTGTGACTTGATAAATCTTACTGTCTTGAACATTGATGATCTGGTACTAATCAAATAGAAAAAATGTGATAAAAATTGTATAATTAACAGAGAAAATCAGAAATAATGCATAACGATTGTAGAAACTATTGCTAATAACATGTATATCATATAGCTATAGTACAGATGCCTTTTCTGCCATCAGGTGCTTTCTATATGTGTGAAAACTGTAAAATATGAATTACAAATCCAATAAAACAGCAAAATTAGTGGTGTATCTTATTACATTTTAACCCTAAACTCCATCAGCTATTACATTAAAACATCAATTGTAAGCACTTTACAGAACGTAAGATCACTGCACGTAATAATACAGTAATTAATACTCACCATACTCCCCAAAAACTATTTTATTACAAGAATTCTTTCGAGCAAAGTACTGAGTAAGTCGTATTCCAACATATATGATGAACAGTCCAACGGAAGAATCCAAGAGAAAGCTAACTATGTACCTAACCAAAAATAAATACAAATAATGAGGTTTATATTTTTTGGTGTTCTTACTTTCCACATTATCGTAAAAATTACTTTTTGGAAAGATATTTTTATTTTGATAAAACCAAAACCTATTTTCTGAGTTTTTTAATGTTTAACACCCATCAAATAAATCTTCATTGTTCTTAAATATTCTTGTAAAAAACTTTATTAAACACGCGAACATTAACATTATTCATGAACCTACTCATATTTGGTTCAGCAAACAAGAGAAACAAAAGCAAAAATTAAATTTAAATGCAAAACTATTTATTGGTCTGTTTTACAACTGTAACTAACGTTTAGCTTATAAATTTGCGTTTATCACATGCAAACCTAAAAAAATCTAACGTTAACCTTTTTTTTTGCTTATCTAATCTACTTCCCCACCATTATAACATGACTTAGAGCCTAGAAAAACATATGAATCTTGAAATAAAGAAACTGCTTAAGATATTATGATAATAAGTTACAAATTCATTCAACATTACTTACTCTACATAATACAAAATGTAATAAAAATTTAGTCATTTAGGTTAATTAGTCTAGATGGTTAGTGTAACAGTTCCGACATACCAAGTGCACGGATCTCCATGGAAAAACTCTGCCAGAAATACATTTGCAAAATGAATGACTAGAGCTCCAAGACCTTGTTTTGAAGTGTCATAAAACCTACATAAAAATATATGTTATAATGGGTGTTTTCTCAGTTCAAGCTTAACATCATGTTATGTAATGTCAATAACACTGGTACAACTTAATTACTCCCTGACTATCTTCATGACATTGTGCTCTATAAACATACCAAGTACATTCTACTTTCTATTTTGATATAGCACTTTTAAGAACTAATCAGTTATTCTATGTATGTGCAGTCTTTACATAACATGGTCAAGATTTGTTCCTTTGTCATTCTCTAGAGATAACACCTGTTCTGCCAAAGGGTGATTTAGCTGTAATGTTGCATGTTGTGGAAGAACATAGACAGCAATATCCTCCAATGGTAGGTTAAATATCTTGAGTTTACAATCTCCCTTATGTCTGAATGAGAATGGCCAGTCCCGTGTGTAATACTAGTCACTCTGGATAAATAAATCGCACCTGTTAAGTAAGGAACATGAGTTTTAAACATCCTGGTATATACTCTCAATTGAAACAGTCGGGTAAATAAAGTGCAGCTGATTTTAGTAAAAGTGGCGGTCCAGCATCTAAATAAGTACACATAAACTATGTACACGTTATTTAATAAAGGTCACAAGGTCAGAAAAATTTAAAATGTCTCTGTGATAGATATCTTGATGAATTTTACGTTATCTAGTAGACTATCCCATCCCTCTCATATAATCAGTTTGACCTAAATATACCACAATATCATGATGTTTTCATTTTTATCACTAATATTTTCTCTCTATATATATATATATATTTATACACGGGGGGTTTCATTAAGTAGAAAAATGAATTACTTCAAACCTTTTAAAATTTACCTCAAAAGGTTTTGTAGGAATTTGTGACATGGGAAGAGAAGAAATTGGAGGAGGAGAGACCAATTTTATCAATACACTTAGCCATCATATCCTGTTATTTGTAGGAGTTAATGTTAGTTCAGCATTGTACATATACAATGTAGATTTTCTTGTAATATCAGCAGGAGCCAAAGGTTGTTTTTATTCATTATAGTTGGCCATATACTAGGTAGTTTCCAATACACAATGCAAGACATATCTTATATACTTAAAGATTCCAATCACAAAATTACAGGAAAAAGTGCATGTTCAGTATGACATCATCCATTGTTCAACTGGATATAAAGGCAGGGAAAGACAATTACAGAGAACAATCATCCTTTAATATTTGTTGGATGTCACTTCATGATTATAAGTTATTCAAAACCAAAGTGACAGCTGAGATGTGGAGAAAACGGAATAACATGACTGTATAAACGAGAATTTTTCGAGCAAGATTTCTTACTAAAACATCCTCCCCGGGTGGTAACAGGTATTATACCTTACTGAGAACAACAAAGGAAGAAAAAGTTTTAGAATAAAATCAACTTAATATCTTTCTTTATTGTATGTTATGTGAAGTCTGCATACATACAGAAGAAAGAGTAAATTCAGAATAAATACTATAATATTACAACAAGACAGAAATACACGGTATATTGAAATACTAGATATATACACAAATGTGTTTCCAATGGAACACAAATTGGTAACTACTTGTAAAAATTCTGAAATTTCACATGAAAAATATAAGTATGAAACTTTATTTTGAAAATATTGTAATGCATTGAAGAAAATGATTATACCTGCTCTTGACAATATATATATACATGTTGTCAACTGTTTAAAAAATAGTTTATTTTTATATTGTGGTGGTTCCCTAAATATGATATATATATACTTTATAATATTTTATTATATATTTTAACTTCCAAAAAATACTTTAATACATTTTTTAATCTCTATACATATTTTACAATTAAGTGTTACACTATAAGGAAGGTAGTTAGTCAACCCCATCCACCACCAACTCTTGGGCTGCTCTTGTCAAACAGAATAGTGGGATTTGACTGCCACTCTTCTAACACACCCACAGCTCCAAAGTACCACAAAACACATATGTTGATACTTGGTAAGTTTGGTGTTTTTATTTTGTTTATTGGGGAAAATATAAGTACATTTCTATAGTTGTAAATCTAGAATATACTTATCTTTCTAAGTAAAACTAACATTTTATCGAACTGTTTAATTAACCTTATAAAGAATACACCATAACCTATTGAAAACAAAATACTATTTGGTCTTTCAAGACTGTTCCTACACACCCACCTTTGGAAAAAAGTAAAGATTTAAGCTTTCCCTTTACTTTTCAGGAAATCATCGATTTCCTTCTTAAACTCCTGTAAAGTGCTGCCTTCCGTTACTGCTGACAATAAATCAATCTGTTAGAAAACAAATTGTCTTAGCTGGAGCCTAGCTTGTCTTTTCCAAAACTTAAGCTGTTGACCACTTATTCTATTATCTCCAGAACGCACACACCTTAATCCTAGTGTTTCCCAAAATTTAAGCTGTTGCCCACTTATTCTATTATCTCCAGAACGCAGTACAAAGACCTCACACACCTTAATCCTAGTCTTTCCCAATACTTAAGCCGTTGACCACTTATTCTATTATCTCCAGAACGCAGTACAAAGACCTCACACACCTTAATCCCAGTCTTTCCCAAAACTTAAGCTGTTGCCCACTTATTCTATGATCTCCAGAACGCAGTACAAAGACCTCACACACCTTAATCCTAGTCTTTCCCAATACTTAAGCTGTTGCCCACTTATTCTATTATCTCCAGAACACAGTACAAAGACTTCACACACCTTAATTCTAGTCTTTCCCAAAACTTAAACTGTTGCCCACTTATTCTATTATCTCCAGAACACAGTACAAAGACCTCACACACCTTAATCCTAGTATTTCCCAAAACTTAAGCTGTTGCCCACTTATTCTATTATCTCCAGAACACAGTACAAAGACCTCACACACCTTAACCCTAGTCTTTCCCTTGGATAATAGTGTAAGCTGCAACAAAATCACCTCTTACCCTTCCTTTTTTGAGATATCTTAACCTATCCCAGTAAAATAACTCTTCGATCCCTGGAATCATCCTAGTAGCCTTTCTCTGAACTAATATCTCAATATTATTTTTTAGATAAGAAGATCATAACTGTACACAGTATTTCAATGAGGCCTAAAGATTAGTGATTTGTATACTAAGACAACTACTACTTTTGACTTGTAATAAATATATCTATGAATATTTAATCTCCTGGTAAAAAGAAAAACAATAAATATTCAAAACCTTTTCTTTTTTGTTTGCTGTTAAGTTTAAGCAAAGGTTCTTTTTTGTTTTTTTGGAATGTTTAAGATATTCTGATATATCGAAAACTGTCACCATCAACAATAGTACAGTAAAGTTTTTACAAGACAGTTGACTAACAAAGCTGAAACTTTAAATCACAACTAGTATGTCCCAGCCAACCAAATGATGAAATTATATTAAATGAGCTATTCAAGAATAGCAAAGTTTATAGTGTACAGTAGCAAATCATGTTGTTTTAGGTAAAAAAAATAAAACAGGAATAGGCTCAGACAGTCATTTCAGAAATTAACTTTCTATTATTTGGACACAAGTAGAATATACAAATATGTTAAATACATACTATATTAATCAGAATAAGTGTATGATCTTACCAGTGTTTGAGTAAGTGTTTTAAAAGTAAGGTATGTGTAAGAGTATATTAGGTATAGCAGAATAAGTTTATGATCTTACCAATGTTTTGAAAACTCTGTAAAAATATGTCAGGTGGAATGAATACTGGTTTACAAATTGAGTGAAACACAACTTTAAATGGTTTTCAGTAACCAAACTTACCAAATAATCCAAGGTCGTCTTTGTTTAGTGGGCTCACAAAATCTTTTTACTGAAAAAAATAATATATATACACATACTATGCTGCTAAAGAAGAGCAAATGCAAAAACACATCTTATTGTTTGAATTGTATCTATCTCTATAAACTTTCATCTCTATATTAATATAAAGCATACTGTCATATCACATTATGTGTAATCTTATATATATACACACACTCAAATATACATATAATTTAAGGACAACAAGAAATCTAGACTATCTCATCCATTAAACACTCAAAACCAGCCCTTATCATTCAAACATTCATCAAGCCTTTCCTTTACCTTTCTAGGTATATTATACTTAAAAACAAAAGTTAACTTGAAATTAGTTCTCTTCTTACAAAGATTATTACACATAAATGGAAACACTTGAAGGAAGAATAGAAAATTATTTATCTCGAACTAACCAGCTGGATAACTTCCCAAAGTGTAAGTACATTACAAATGTGATCTTCGAATCAAATCTCTACCATTTCACACCATACAATATAAAACTCATTACTATTTTTCTTACCACTGATGTGTTAGTTTCAGTTTACTTATTAGATAACAAGTTAAAAAAAAATTTGAATAATAAAGGTACAAGCTGTAGGTCTGATTGTAAACTTTGTGAATGTCCCCAACTACGCCTATCTTTAGAACCATTACAAATTTTAAATATTTGTGTTTCCATCAATATAATTTTAAAATAAGTTTCATTTTCATATAGCTTTACTTTAACATTTCCAATAATTCTAAAATATCATGCATTATTTTACTCAAAGAGTCTTTACTATGAAATATAGATTGTTATTGGTATTCAAGATATTTTTACAATTAAATATTTGCACAATACAATAGTGAGTTTCTGAACTGTATTAAATAATGAACCGATATTTCAAGCATTCTTTTTTCTGAAATTGAAAAGTGAAAGATATTATGTCACAGCAATTAGATACCAAGAATTAGTACTATATTATTAACTACGCCATTATTATTTGCACTTATGTTAAACGATGAAATAAAATTATCTCCGAGGTTGACGTTAAAACTTACATATAAGACACGTAAAGGCTAGTCCAGCCAGTATTCCTTGAACAAACCATCCGAAGGAATCGGTCAGTGCTCCATGAGTACAGTGAATTTTAGATAGGCCTACAGGATCTGCCTGTAAGCTTGATTGGTCACGCAAACCAAGAACCAGCCCAAGTCCCATAGATGAATCATTACTAATACTAGTATTACTTTCCACAGGCTCAGCTAACAATGTAGTACTACTGGTACTAGCAGTTGACGTGTTACTTCCGTATTCAGAAAGATTGAATTTTAACACAGAAACTAAAATTACTTCAGGAAATTTGGAATTCATTACAGTGTCCATACGCCAATTTTAATAGCTAGCACTTGTCCTTTCTTTGGGTATAAGAATATGACTGACCAATTAAGAACTTCGTTTATTAACAGCATCAGCTGTTGCCCTAAGAGATAATAATAGCGCCATCTGCATGATTTATAAGAAAATAGAAACTGTTTGTAATATTTATATTTAAAAAAAAATATCTCTTGAAATTATGAATTTTATACGTACATTACTTTGGCAGATACATGTATGAAATTTGTTGAATATTTGAAATTTACGTCTAATAAACGAATATTCAAGAGATTAAAGTGCGAAGTTCTTTATAAGACAGTTAATTTATACTTTTGCCTCGGCTAGATATTGAAACTGAAAATAGTATGTCTATGGTGTACTCTTATGTGATTATTATTGACCCCCTCCTAGTGGTTCAGCAGAGAGTCTGAGGGCTCACACCGCTAAAAATCGGTTTTAAATGCTCATGGTGGACACAAAACAGATAGCTCATGGTATAGCTTTGTGCTTAACAAAATATAAAGAAATAAAAGAGACTGTTACTGTAATAGAAATGTATTTAATTACAACATATTATATTTTTAAAGTTAAGGAAAGGAGAATGTTGTATAAAAGACAAATATGTAACTAATATCATCGTTGGTACATGATAACTATAAAACAATAATGTTGCGTCAGCGAGGTCACGTGTCTAGTGTCACGCCACCTATTTTCTAGAAATATCTTGTTCCTTCGTGAATGCTCTAGCATTTACTAGATATATGTTTGTCTGGTATATATATAAGATGCTCACAACGTGACGGAACAATGTGTGTAGATAGTGAGTAATTGAACTGCAGTCAGAAAGTATTGTTGAAGTTAACGTTCGTTGTTAAAACGTTTGTTATAGAGCGACTGTTGAAAATAAGTGTATCGGTAAAGTTATATTCAGAAAGAATAAACAAGTTTTATTAAGTAAGGACTTGTGTCACTAAAGTTTCGTCGGAACGAAGTTACGGAAAATTAATTAACAAACGGAGACGTAACAATAACATAAAATATTGAATAAGGATAATATCTTGCATAGATAGACATTTGTCCTCCTGTGGATCAATGGTAAGTTTTATTGCTTACAACGCGAAAAGTCGGATTTCGATACCCGTGGAGGGTACAACACAGATAACCCATTGGGTAGCTTTGTGCTTAATAACAAACTAGCTAGACGCTATATTTCATATCTCAATCAGTTCTGGTTTTGAAATCAGTTTCAGTAGCTGTGCGAATCACTTCATTAACATAATGACTAGGTTGGTTGAAGTGTTGGACAACAGTGAGGCCTTTTTCGGTTATTGAAACGTTCTCTAAGAGTCATTTGAGTATGTCCTACATAGTAGTGATTGCATTTTTACATTCTATAAGGTAAATGGTGTTTTGGGTTGTGCAAGCAATTTCTTTAGAATTTTAAAGTGTTTTTGGTCGTATTCACCGATAAAGAATTTGTAATTTTTTTTTTAACTTGTAGATTGAAAAACGAACTTTATTACATGGTTGACAATAATTCACTTTTACAAGAACAAGGGTGCCTTTAGGATTTCTACTTTTACAACGAGAACCTCATGAATAATGTATCTCAAGGGATCATTCATTTGTAGTGAATGGAAATCTTTTTCGTTGTTTTTTACTCAGAATATGTGAAACATGTCTGAGTTTTATGTGATAGATAACAACAAGAGAAATTTTGTTTGACTCATTATTATTTTACTAAGATAGTTTTTCGTTGAGTATTATTAGCTTTTTCAGCGTATTTTTCAATTTCAGTATCTTTATAACACGGTTTGTTGTAGAATATCTGTACGTTTTCAGTATTTTTCATCAGTATATACTTCTTGACGGTAAGTAATATTCCGTTTAGTGTGAGTAGAATATCAGTTTTTGTAGAGAATATAGTGTTGTTCAACGCTAGAAACCGGGTTTCGATACCCGTGGTGGGCAGAACACAGATAGCCCTTGTGTAGCTTTGTGCATAGTTAAAAAAACAAACAAACAAACAGATAGTGTTGTCTATCTATAGGTTTTCTGTATAAATCAGTGTGTACAAGTCTGTTACTTAAAGAGACATTGATGCAAAGAAATGTGTTGTCTAAGTTAGGTGCCATCTTTGTGCCCATTGCAATCAGGGTTTGAAGTCATAGAAGCGAACTGGAGTGCCGTTTCTGTTGTAAGAAATTGTTGTGAAAACACTCCTGTTGTTAGAAACTTTTATGAAAACGTTCTGCTGTAGAATGTCCAAGGATATACATAAACTAAAGATAAGTTACCACAATCTTACCAATTCATATCATTTATTCTGACATCATCAAATAATTGAAATAAGAGACTGTCGCCACATCCTTGCCTCATAAAGGCTGTGAAACCGAGCTTCACTTTATAACTTTACACAACTCAAGCCCCGACTGCAGTACCTTTAATCTGAATTTATCGTTCGTTGTTTAATTCAAAGTAGGCACCGTAAGTAAAGTGTGTGAATCACTGTGAATTATAGCGTGTGTTTAGAAAAGTAGTTAAGTTAAAGTGACTGTGGAAATTCTGTGTATTACAAAGTTGTATCGAGAAAAAATAAACTGATTTAATCAAGAAAGGACTTGTACCGCTGAAGTTCCTCGGAAAGAATTTCTACCTGAAATTAACAAACAAGCGGATAAGTAAAAACTTCCTCCATTAAAAGTGCCAATTATCCAAGTTAAAATATTAGAAACATGCCCTATAATATTTGTATTATGATGAAGAACACCAGATTTTGTGTTTCTTTGTAAGCGTTTAGCATGAACAATTTTGACAGCCATATGGCACACGTTTACATACACTGTCAAACTATTTGTTTTTGATTCGATGATTTGGGAAATATTTAGGCGTATCATGTTGTTGTTGGAAGAACCTCGTTTCTAATTATCGTCAAACCAAGCTAGGCTATTAACCTAGGTTTTCAAGTAACAAACAGGCGAGAATTTCCAAAAATACCACCTGGTCGTACCTATGATAAATTAATTGTAGTTTCTTTGATTAAGTTAAAGTTAGTTGTATTGTAAAATAAAAAAAAACAACTATTACAATTCCACATTAAGATTTTTATTGTCGATTTTTTTCTACTACACGGACAAGCTTCAACAGAATCTTGGTCTGTCTTCGTTAGTTATAAATTAAATGTCTGAGTAAATCTGTTTTAAATACATATATTACTGTTAGTGAAGTTATAAAACAGTAGAAAGTTAAGTATTAAATGCATTATCTGAACCGAATTTAGGAATCAGGTTTGTTTTGGGTAGCCTTTAGACAATCATATGTAAATTATAAGTAATTTTTTTTTTCAGATTGTTTTGAGTGTTGTCTCTTAGTTAATTGTTGCTATTTGCAAATACTATTGGCTTAGTGAACAAAGCTAAGTCGTTTGTGGATGCCTTTCGGAGAATATTAAAATGCTCAGCAAATAATTATTTTGAATCTCTGAGGGGAATATCGGGAAAATACACTTAACCATTTTATTATCAGCAATGATCAATATAGTATTAATAAAGATAATAATTTTTTTCCAAAATATACTGAACTTCTTCAAAATATTACTATTGGTAGAGATACGCCATCTGCAAAAAAGATGTAAAGTTGTTCTTTTAAGTTTTGGTGAACATAATTCGAAGTCCAGGCTACGTAACGGTTTACTTTTCCTTTCTAAACACTTGTACACTTCTTGTAACTTGTAGGCTTATGTTTGTAAATCACGCTCAAACGGAAATACCTCATTAATGATACTAGGACTAACGTAAAAATAAACCTACTTGAACAATTTCACGGCTAATCGATAGAACAACTGGATATACGCGATCACTAGCACTGATCCAAATACTTGACTGAAACTAAATACTTCAACGACTGTATCCGTATTCATTCACTAATCACCACTCCTGAACTATCTACTTGTATTTATATCTGTAACCTAGTTTCTAGATACTTCGCAAAATCTCTCGATCACTAACATTCCAGTTATTATGGGACTTGCTTGATTTTAACTTCATGCGCCCTCTCATTAGCATATAAGTTAAAACATGAAAAATATATATCTCACCACATGTTATCAAGTGCTTGCCATCTCAAAAAAATCTTACCCCACTTTTCGACAACTGGAAAAAATGAGATACTTGTCTTTGAAATTGTCTATACCGTAGCAAAACCTTGTAAAAGATAATAATTAAACTTGTGTCAGCTCACATCATTTTACTGGTCACAAAATAAACAAAATAAGCACGGTACTGACAGATATGTGAAAAGCAAGAGTGATTCCATTCAACCTTGGATCTTCCCAGTTTCCTTTCTTTTATCCTTACATAATTTAATTCATTTTATTATTTTAATATGATTTATTGCCTCTATCTTTCAGCTACTTTTAATAGTTTTAGTAAACTGGAGAAAATGATATAAGCTGTTCTTCTGAATGTTGTACAGAAATGATGATGAGTCATATATATATCATACTTTGTTTACAAATATTCTGATAATTAAATTTGATTTACTCTTAAATGGTCGAACTGATACCATATCCACATCTAGGAAGCACAGCTATAGTTATGGTAATATTTAGGAAAATAGTTGGACACACACACACACACAGGATTGTTTCTTTTTCCTTAGCATTTATTTCTCCAAAACACAGAAAAGGATTACAGGAACAAACCAAACTTTTATAGAGAATTTGAAACTTGCACGGACCACCTGGTGGTGAAGGGTGGTAAAATAGAAACCTAGTTGAAATATATTTTCCACTTATAATTGTTGAAGTCGACATTCCGTCGGCTGTACCAGTTTTGATTTTGACCAGCTTGAATTTCAACAAAGAACATCAATTCTGTCTGCATCATTATCAGTATTTACGTAATACTTGACAAATTTTATGTTTTCAAAGTTTGTTGGACCACTTTTATTTGCCCTTGAAATGTAAGGAATACGAAGAAAACGGAAGCAAGCATCAGTACGTATTTAAGTTAAATTTTTAACCCTAACACAAATAACAATCTTAGTAAAACTGCAATAAAATAACTGTATGACATTCATAACAGTTCAAATATGTTTGTTTTT